GTATACAATTTTCCCGTAGATTCAACGGTTTAGGAGTAATTAAGGAAAAATGAAATTTTTTGACAAAAGTTCGTCGTTTCGACGCTGTCGGATAGTCGGATTTTGTCATCAATAAAATGCCAAATAATCATACGTAACTCGTTAAATATCGAAGTTAGAAGGAAAACAACTTTTATTTGAAGTATTTTTCGCAATTTTGAAAAAAAAAATTGTTCGTCAGCGTCAATACTTAATTGGATATTTCCTTCTATACTTTTTAGCACGTAGCTATTTATTATTAGCATTATTCTTCGTCCAATTTCTTTTTAATCATAGGAAATGCGTTTTTCTAAGGTACATAAACTTTTGAGATTGACTGTATAGCCAATACATCCTTAAGAAACTGTCGTCACGGCCTTTGAGCTAAACCGGAAAAATAGCCAGCTCACAGTTTCGTAATTACCATGCAGCCGAATAACGTCAAGAGCAATTAAACGGGACGCGGTCGTGTATCGTTTTGGTTTTCAGGATTCGAATCTGCGTCGTCGTGTCCACCTGCGAGCGTTAGGCAGAGGGCAAATTGTGATTTATGCGGGGCAACATGTTGCCGACTGACGAAAGAGAATTGTGGACGTAGGTAATGAGTTATGGTGAGTCGCGGCTTAATGGAAATATATGGCTCCGTTGCCGTGTAATCAGCCTGGCCCGCTTGACATCTCGCGCGTGTGTCCGCGGAACACGTTTCACCGTGTCCAAGTGATCGGGGGGTTTTTTCTTCTAGAAACCGGGGGCGTTGCGCACGATCTGGTCACAGTGTTCGCCGGCGATCGTGCCGGTGCACCGTAACCCGTAGCCCCTTCGAACAACACCGGGATATTTTCCAACTCGAAGGGTGAGCGAGAACCTCGCCATGCCTACAGATCGGTCGGCTGTGTCGATGACAACATCGCAGAGCAAACACGGAGGTGGCCATGGTTACCGATGATTAATTCAACGACAGTTTCGAGCGTTTATTAGCCACGAAACAACACTATTCTCAGGCAAATTCTATAATAAATGTTGCGGTCCGAACGCATCGACTCACGGTTAATAGAAAATAGCAGTGGCGAATAACTGTATCGGCGTTATTAATATCGAATGCGCGCTGAAACGGCGTTGCATAACTCATAAAGCGCGTATGTATTCTCGCGGTTTCCGTTTTTCGCGTTGCGCGGTCGGGAATTCAGTAACAAAACGCGAACTAGTTTTGAAAAAGGGGCGACGCCGCGGTCTCTAGCACGGGTCTCTAGGGCTGTGTGCTCGTTGAAACCGACCCTTGATAGGTGCACTTTTGGGGTAGCCGGCAAGCCCCCTGTGCGCTAGTGACTGTGCTTGAAGCCTCGAGTGGCCACCGAGACGCGCAAGAGCGGAGGGCTGCTGTGCGTTGCGTACACCGGCTGTGTCACGAGACGAGCTACATCCAAGATGAAATTTCAAATATTCCAACGCTGCGTTTATATCCTCATTTTAAGGAAAACCCGGCCCCCTCGACGCCGCTGAATGGGCCGTCGCTCGTACAAATATTTTCAAACGCTTTTCGCAGGACTTTAAGTATAAGCCAATCTGATGCGTATCCTCGAAACGAGTTTCCCGAAGCAGTAGCCGCGGTCGCATTAAGGGCTATCGGTCCATTTCGTTGCTATTGCTCGGTGGTACCATCGCGTTTTACGACTGGCATATCCATACCGCAAAATCATTCTTTACGACTCTAACATAACGTTTTCTTGCCGCGCGCGGTTTTATAGCGCCCGTCCGAGAATATCGGACCGATGACATAACGGCGAGCCACAAGGCTCCGCCTTTCAACCGAGATTGCCTATGTGCTCTGCGCTTTACTCCGCGCCGGAAGCGCACATGTGTCTGCATGTGTCAAAGGCGGCTTCTCGCCGCGTCTACGCACAAAGGATAGGAGAGGAAAAAAAAAAAGAAGCGGATCCCTACGCCTGATGCCCATCTGCAACGGCGCGTCGCCTTGAGAATCGCGGCCAAGCGAAGGATATTATTTAATTCGTCGCCCTCAAAGGGGCACGAAGCTCAAACGCATTCCTCGATGCACAATAACCGCGTTATTGAAGCCCTTTGGCTCGACAGAAAAGCATCATCGATCGGCGTTCAGTTTATCTCGAAAGCGTTTCGATCAAACGATTGTCGAGCACGGGATCAAATCTATTGTAGGTAGGTTGAAGATCTCGCGGTTGAAAAGTCGTAGACGTCGGGAAACGAAACAGACGAAACGATCGGTTTTTTAAACCGCAACATCATTAGTGCGGTGGGAAACTCGGGGCGAGTCTTGTTTCGCATGTCCCGTCGAGCGGCTGCGGGCGGAGAAATAATATCGCGTTTTCGCGTCGCGCGCCGAGAGGAGAATAAACGGGTTTAAATAGCGGGTAATTAAAAAACGTGAAGCGAAATCAGCCGGGGTTACAGCTCATTAGTTTTCAGCCACCGGGAAAGGACGGTGTGACAGAGGCTGCGAAAACGCGACGTTTGAATGCCGGATACAGCAGACGTGCGTTATGTCATTCGCGTGTATGCGCGTCCCGCGGCGGCGTTAATTGGCTCCGCGATGAATATTACAAAATAACGTCGGCTGAAAGCAGAGGCGCGCCGCTTTAATTACGATATAATGCCAGTCGGTCGAGTTTCTTCCCGCGAAGAAAGGCCGATACCCCCCGTCTTTACTCGCGTTACGCGAGTAACACCTCGCTTTCATCGGCTTACTTAATACGGAACTTGGATATTTCCTTCTAGCCGGATTTCATTCGAGGAGGGAACGATGCTACCGAACAACTTCAAGGATCGCGCGAAGATGGTAAACTTAAAATCCGATCACTAAATTTGATTTAAGATATATTTTTATGGGATCAGGCTTTCAACTATGCTGATGTGGACTGCAAAGGATCTTTGACCAAACGGCAGTATAAAATAGCCATGACGGCTGTTTTCGGATGTCGGCCGGACAAAGTAAGACACTCAATACTTCTTCATTTACGAAACTGTTAGAATTCGAATTTTAGACAGAAGTGAGGCAAGCGTTTCAATCTACCGAAAGAATTTCGTACGAACTATTTGAGCTGTGGGTGTCTAAGAAATGCATCGCGAACGATTCGCAAGTCAACGCGGAAGTACTGTTCGCTTTATTGGATAGAGATTGTAAGGATTTGAGTTATCGAAGATAATACGGTCTTTTAAATAATAAGTACTTTAGACAAGGGTTACCTGGTATTGGAGGACTTCTATTCGGCGAGTAAGGCTGTGGATTTGAAGGTATATTCGCCGGTATGGCAAATGGTGTTCAAGGAACTGGATCGTCAAAGAAAGGGACGTCTTGGTTTCGACGAGTTCTTATGTATATTGCCAGCAGCATACGAATGTACAACGAGGTAGACTGACTCGGTACAAAGTAGCTTATGTAAAATGCAAACAATAAATAAAAACGAAGTTTCTTATATAATGAAATATTTACTTACTTAAATATACTCTTCTTCGTATGAAAATAATTACGATCTCATGGACATAGTTCTCTTATAAGCAATGTACAAGGCGCGCCAACACTGTACACGATCGGTATAATTAATACTACGGACGACGTATTATAAAAATCATATCGTGTAAATAAATCAAATATATCCATCACAAGTTTTATTCCTTATCGGAAAATTCTTGACTCGCCAATTGGTAGAAATGGGAGTCGACGTTCTGAATTAACAAATTTGGTTCGTCAAATTCTATAACTTCTCCGTCGTCCAACACAAGAACTCTGTAATGAAATGGAACGTGAATGGGACGTAGAAATTAAGAAGAATTTCTGCGATTGACGTACCTATCACAGTGCATGATCGTCCTTATCCTATGCGCTATAGTAAGCACCGTAGCGGCTGGGAAGGAAGACTTTATCGTCGATTGAATAAATTTGTCTGTCTCCTGATCGACGTTCGCCGTAGCTTCGTCGATACAGACAATCTGTAAATAACGAATGATTTAAGAAAATTACACAAAATACTATTACAACTGGTATAAGAAAGCGTACCTTCGCGTTGTGTAAGATTGCTCTAACTAGACAAAACAGTTGCCTTTGGCCAGCACTCAAATTGCTACCACTTTCGTCTAAAGTGGCGCCGAGACCACCCAAACGACATACCAGCGAATGAATTTTACATTTCTCCAGTGCTCTGCTTATATGTAAATCCATATACTGATTCAACGGATCGAGATTTTCCCTAATCGTCCCGGAAAATAAAAATGGATTTTGTGGTATGATAGCCAATCGAGACCTAAAACAGTTCGTTGCTCGTTTATTAAGAATAATAAGCCACAAACCAAATTAAAACTACAAAGGACAGTACCTTAAAGCACTCAATTGTAAATTCTGTATATTTATATTATCAATTAATATGCTTCCGGAAGTGATTTCCGTTAATCTAAACAAAGAAGCAAACAGTGAACTCTTTCCAGCACCCGTACGGCCAACGATGCCAATTTTCTCCGCTGGTCTCGTAACAAATGATATTTCGTTCAACGATGGCACTAAATAATCTCTACAAAAATGTAAATATTTAATACTTACACATTAGATTTTATGTGACGAATTTGCAATAGATTTTCCCAATTACCTGTATTTTAAAATAACATCCTTAAACTCGATGACACCCTGGGTTGGCCAAGCATACGGCGCATTCTCCCCTTTCGCAATCTCCACGGGGACATCTTCTAAATACTGTTTCACGCGTTCCACCGCGATCATTTCCCTCTCCGTTTCTGTAAATGCGTTCACCACCCCAGAGAGCAACCCAGTAACAGATAACGTGTAAGTGATAACGAGGCCTATTAACCCGGGATCCGCAATACCATACTGATGTTGCCAAACCGCGATATTGCTCACTCCAGCTAACAGTGTCACCCCGATTAATTGCAATCTTAACGCGAGCCATTGGCCAGCGGCGAATGATGCAAACTGCGTTTTCTGACTGACTTCTAGCAATAGTTCATTGTCTTGCTTGAAACGCGGCACTGTACGAAAAGCTCTGATCGTTGACAATCCGTGCAGAGTTTCGTTAAAGTGAGCGTACAACGGGGAGAGAGCCGCGCTGGACATGCGCTTTAACTCTCTCGACGTTAATCTAAAAACAAAAATTGTATAAAACTCTGGTGCGCAGTGAAACATAGAAACAACGCACCTATAATGATTTTGTATCCAATGATAAAACGGTACCAACGGGGCTAGGACCAAAAGTATCCACGGCAGTCCGTAAGTAGTAATGATGACTGTTGCGATCAAGCCAAATAACTGGGCAAATAATATATTAGCGATAAAAGGAAGGCTGTCGTCAATCGTGTACGTATCGGACGAAAATCTGTTTAGAATCCTGCCAAATGATTGGATGTCAAAAAATACAGATCTGGCCTAAAATTATAAGTTAATCATGTTGTATCTTTTAACTTCCTACGAAATTGCTTTTTATAATTTACATACCCGCACTACGACTTTCAATAATTGTTTATGTATTGTGATGGCTGCTTGAATACCCCCGTACGCGAACATAAATGCTCTCATTAACGTGAATAACGTATTAAACACAACCAGCACCCCGTACACTGTTAAGTAGTAGTTGGTGCCGATGTTATAATCATCGAAAAATAAGTTTAATCTCAAAAGCTTTATCCCACCCGTGGTATTAGTCGCTGTTGTGTTAACATGAGTAACCCAGTAAGAGAGCCACAAATCAGTAACGTTCTTTGAACTTTGCATTAAGAACATGGACAGAACTATCGAAATCGTTAAATAAAGGCCGATCGCTTTCACGTAGCAACTGTAAACTCCAAAACGCAGTTTGCCTTTCTCTTTATATTCTTCATCGAGCAATGTAGACCTCTCGTCGCTGCTTTGATATTGATCACTCGGTAAATCGCTTACAGAGAACATATCTGAATCTGAATCTGCAGATTCCGTAGATAGCAAGTATTCTTCTAAATCGGGTAAAACTTCGCTCGGTTTCCCTTGCTTAATAATCCTGCCTTTTGACATTTCTAGCACTAAATCCGCGTGCATCAAATACTGTGTTTTGTGAGTGCACAATAGTCTCGTTTTGTTACTTAATAAACCGAGAATAACGTGCTCGAATACGAAAGCGGCAACTTTTGGATCCAAAGTCGCGAAGACATCGTCCAACAAGTAAATATCTTTGTCCGCGTATACAGCACGCGCCAAGGAAATTCTTGTTTTCTGGCCTCCACTTAAAGTATTTCCAGCCTCACCAATAGCTGTTAAGTCTTTCTTCGGCAAAGAATTTAAATCAGCACTCAGCGCACACGCTTTTAAAACGTTCCTGTTATAAATAATCTTACATAAAAACACTTGAATTTCTTTCGTCTTTAATTCAATACTTACCTGTATTTATTATAATCGTACGATTTTCCGAAAAGGATGTTATCGCGAATCGTACCACGTTGAACCCAAGGATTTTGTTTCACGTATGCGAAACCGTCTTCGAAATTGTTCACCGCTATAGTACCGCGGACTTTAACGATTTCTCCTAAAATACCATCTAAAAACAGGGATTTCCCGCTTCCTACTTTTCCCATAATACCAACCAATTGGCCCTAAAATAAGTTACAGTTCATAAAATTCGATCAAACGCAATCTGCGACAGTTTATTACCTTAGGTACTGTGATATTAAGACTATGTAAATTAAAAACACCTTCCGATTGTAAATCATTAAATTTAACTGTCCTAAGCTCATTTTGCTCTTCACTTTGCTGCGAGTTTACACTGAACGTTGTGTCTTCCACCATCAAATCTATTCCAGGCGGAGGCTCCGAATAATAAGATGAGATATCTGCATCTGGTAACTATTAAATCTAAGTTAATACTGTTTTTAGTTTAAACATATTATCGCATTAATAGTGGAACTTACATCTAATATTTTCTGAATCCTTTTAAGCGAGACCCAAGCTTCTGTAAGGCCGTTCAAAACCCAAGGGAATGCATTCAGTGGAGCTATCAGCATGTTCAGCAATGCCATGCTGGTAAACACGGTCTTCGCGTCGAGTTCATTTCCAAAGAGCACATACGTACCAAATGTTAACATAGAGATTAACACCGGTGTCGTTGCCCAAAAGTAAACGCAGAGTGCGTCCAAATATTTTCTACCACGTAAATACTTAATCTCACTTTCACGCAATTCTGAATGAAAGGAAGCATGAAAAGTTATGTATAAAAATTGTCAGACATAAAATCTCGTACATGAAGTCGCACTAACTTGATATATTCCGTAGAAAATGGTCCTCCCACACGTTTAACTTAATCGTAGTTATTCCACGCAATATTTCCCCCATAAGTTTAACTCTCTCATCTTTGCACGCCATTAACTTTGTACTCAGTCTTCCAATGTAATTTGCTATTACTTTATTTATCGGTATAAGAATTATAGCAAACGCGACGCCAGCCAAGAACGATAGCCCGATTTGTTGATAAAGAAGATACAATGTCACAACTAGCTGAAAACAGAATATAGTGTAATAGACTTTCAATATCAGATTAAAATGAGAGCAGTATCGTTAAAAATTTACCTGTAAAGGTATGCTCCACAATGCATGAAAACTTGCGCAACTATTTACAAGCCTATCACTGTCTGTGCTCATGAAATTAACTATCTCGCCGAAATTAAATTGCTGCTTCAATTGAATATTGGGGGAATGTAAAATCTTCCTGTACAGTAACGTGATCACTGTAGATCGTATTTTTAATCCAACTACCGACATCCAAAACGTGAAATGTGTGTTACAAAAGGCGCCTGAAATAAGAAATAATTGTCACAATCCAGTACATTAATCAGATTTACATTGATGTATAAATGCCTACCTATTAAAGCACTTATAATGATTAACGACGAGTACAGATATCCGTACGAGATAGGCTCGTCTTTATCCTCTATAAAACCAATTAATCTATTCAGTAACAAAGGCCCCATAAACGTAGAAGAGTCGCCAATAAACTTCAATATTCCAACTGAATAAAACTCCAAACCAAAGCATTTGTGCAGTAATCTGAACAGCGTCATTTTGTTTGTAACAATTTGGATACGCATTCCTAGCACCGAATCAGTATTTTCCATTCTATTATTTATATCGTTGGGCTACAATATTTCGATTAGTGTGCATTTAAGTCGTCAACAAAATTCGAAGAGATATAACAATAATGCATTTACCATGCTCTGCAAATGTTTATCGATCTTCTGTGTAATTGCACCGCTACTTATATATTCCGGCAACTCAAACAAGTCGTCCGAATGATTCAATAAGCCATGAACACCCTTCTGCATCAGGGGGTTCACCCAATGAAATATAAGCTTGGAGATGATGGTCGCATCCTCCATAGCGGTCCCAAGATAAGTTGGGTCCTGTTCCTCAGGGAATCTTACGTAAGATGTATTCGGCGTGCTCAATAGTGCTGTCCGTTCTCCTATCTGTGAACGCATTTTTCTTTTCTGAATCATGATATCTGTGTTTACTTAATAACATGTAGTTTTAGATATCACGCACAATTTGGTAACATGAGTAACAGATGTTTGGAAATCCTCTAACAGATAAGCGAGAAAAGAATCACTGATAATAACATGAGCTACTACGTTGGAAAGAAACAGGTTTTAACCACTCACTTCATTAACTTGAGACGGTCTCATGTTTCTGAAGCCACTTCTACCTCCCGGTATCAATGTGACAGCATAGAATACTAGTAGAGTGACCACGCTGACACTGAATCCCAATGATAGATTGGGTAAAACATCAGCCTGAGTTTTGTACTTTATGTGGCTTCTTAATAACAGCGTCGAGATAACCATTAATAGAAATATTAATGCTCTTATCAATAGCGGCCCTCTCGGATTAAACCGTTCTTGTCCTCGTCCTCTTTTTAAGCTGAGTATTAAACAAAGGTGGACGACCCATGCCAAACCTTCAGTGGCTGCCACGAGGTAATCAATAGGTTTGGCACAAGTGACATTGTCCTCAACCGTAGCTGACATTAGATTATTGTCCGGTAAATTGGACATGATTGAAGGTCCAGTGGAGGTTTGAACACTCCTTGGAAAAATAAGTGACTTCGCATAGTCAATGGTATGGTTCAAATCAGTCTGTATCCGATGTATTAAGTCTGGAGTATTAAAAAATGCTTCTGGACTTTCAGTTGTCGTGGTTGTTGTGGTAGATTCTTGTAACAACACACTGTTGGGCAGTACATTCTTCGATGGTGCAAGTATAGTATTAGTGAGAATGATGTACGCCTTGAGTATAGGAAGTATTACGAGGCAGATTATAATTGCGACTCTCCAATTTATAGCATTAGTGGAAATCAAATGAGGAGAGGAATATGTGTGTCGTCGCCCACAATAATATGCAGATACTATGGCAATACAAACTAGAACAGGAATCTAAAAAATATTTAATTGAATGTAATACACGACTTATTTCATTCTATAAAATAAACTTTGTGATGATGAGTCACCTGAAGATAAAGTTGTTGGAAGCATACATCGAGATCATGAGTATCCGGATTAATGGGATCCATACCTCCCTGGTATCCACATAATTCTGTCCAGTTCCACTTCCATCCTCCACCATCGTCAGGTACCCAATTACTCATGTTTTAATCCTGAAAGTGACGTCTGATAAAAACGATTATTGCACAGCACTTTCGACAAGCAATTAACGTTCAATTTGTAAGATGCCATTAGAATATAAAATTTGCTTAGATAACAAACGAATCATTGTTATCGTCCGAAATTTATTATCTGTTACCCACGTATCACACTATCCGTTCGGAACAAGTTAAGAGATAATATTTGAGTGGCAGCTTACAGTAATGACAGCCGTGGGATATTATTGAGCACTTACTTGCGAAACATATATTTCAGTTTGCGGGGCAATAGCATACACGCACATTAATATTTCTTACGCGTTTCGTGATATATCATGTTTCGAATTAGTCCTATGTCAAGGCAAACTTAGTGGTTAAGTTTCTAATGACAGCCAGGCTAGGTCGATGACGCATTCGATTACAATTCGTGCGTCTCCAATCGAATCTGCAAGAATAATAACAAGCAAAGTATTTTTCTATTATAATTTATACAAACTAAATTTATGACTATAAGTCATAAAGTAATGTCAATGAGAGCGATTACATGTTAATAATAAGGTCGTGATTATAAAAAATATCGGCTGATTAGACATGAGTAAACACGAGGATGTTGTGCAAAATGATGAACCAAGAATGATGGTAGATGATAAAAATGATGATTCCCAGAATTTTTCGAGTGATAAAAATTTAGAGGAGGAATTGTTGAACTACGTGGCAAAGAGCAAGGCTATATTTAAGAGCCAACAAAAGGACGATCCAGATTTAACTTTCGACGAGAAATTAACAATCGCACGTAACGTTCTTCAGAAGAGCTATTGCCTGTTCTTGTCGAAGTTCGGTCAATACATGAAGAAGGAACATTTAAAGTTCTTTGAGAAGATCAAGGATGAGGATTACGAAGTCGCTTATCATTATAATAGATTGCAAAGGTATTTCAATAACTCCAAAAGACAGACCGATGTCAGGAACAGGAGATATCAGGCACTTAAATCCTTGGTAGAAGAAGGGGAATATTTCAGTGAATGCGAAATGATGAAAAGAAACCCTTTACTATATGAACACTTGGTAGGGCAGTATATGACCGAGCAACAAAAGAAGATTAGAGATAACATAGACACTGAAAACATTACCTTTGTAAATTTGTTAATGGAGAATATAGAAAGGAATAGTTTAAAAGAGAAACGGAAATTACAAGAAGAAGAAGAACAAAGTGTATTAGAAGAAAACGATTCAGATGATGACACGGAGGATATATGTATTTCGAGAACTACTGACAAGGAACATACTAAATATTGGGGCCAACCATTTGAATCAGAAAAGGAATATAAGAACGAAGGATCAAAAACTATATGCAATATTTCGAAAGCAGAGAAATTAATACTCAAACAAGAATTCGTGACAAATATGTACCAAAACTTCTTGGATGGGAAGGACACAGACTTTGATTATAGGTATATAATTGTCAGCAACTTGTATTAGTACTTTAATACATTGTACATATGCTGTAATTTTTTCATCTTTTTAGCACTGTAGATAATAATGAAGCGTATGATAATATAGATCTGAGAACGCAGGACGAAGAAGATAAATATTTTGATGCAGAGTCACCTGAGACTCTCTGTCAGACTGAAGATACGAACGAAATTGAGACTGAGGATGAACTGGATGCTTATATGAAATCGTTAAAGGTTAATTGATATTTCACAGTTTATGATCAGTTCAGAGTAAAAGTTCTGATTCATAAATAGATTATTTATTCAATAGGAGCGGGATAAGCAGGATCTCTCCTTGGATAATCTTGTATGTGATGATTACTCATAAATATGATCCTGTTATATGTACAGTAATTCAAACGTTTGTAAATAAAAAACGAAACACAGAAAAACCTGTAGTTAATTTATTATGAACTTAATAAAAAACGTATGTTACATACCGGTGATTAAATAACGTAAGCCCTAATTAATATTCAATCGGAGCGCATCTGTAGTGACATAGAGTGTGTTACTGATGTCGGTAGGGTGGTTCACGTGAGGGAAACAATTGTTCCGTTTTTTCTAAATATAAGAAAATGGTAAGCCCGGATTTGATTTGAAGAAGCATGAGAAACCCCTGCTTGCGAGAGCGGTTAATTACATGCCAATCGAATTTGAACGACACACGTAACTATCCTCCCCCAAAATCATTTAAATGTCATAGAGGTTAACCATCGCAAGAATTTTGACAGTTTTATTTAACAATTTAAGCTCCGCTAATTGTTCGTTTATTTAGCTAGCGCAACGAACATATTAATAATGCGTTTTCTTTTATTTAGTAACAGTCTGCTGAAATTATGTTAACCTATTAATCTCTGATTCTGAGCTAAAGTATAAAATAATAAGCAATAGATATGCCATTTACATAGCTCTTTTATGGAAAAACTTGGTTCGATTTGTAATTAGTGCATAACGTAATCATTTTCTTCTCTATCATAACATTATGCTTTGCAATAGTGCATGCTTGTGATTGAATGCTTACCTAGCATGGTACTACCTGGTGTTCCTGGTAGGTATCTTTATTTTTCTCACAGCCAATGACACCTGCAATAACTGGAGTGGAAGAGCAAGAGAAGTTACTCGAGGATGCAATCAGCGTGGTCAAGATGCAGGCCTTCCAGATGAAGCATTGCCTCGACAAATCTAAACTGATGGATGCATTAAAACATGCATCTACGATGTTAGGAGAACTTAGGACCTCACTCTTAAGTCCGAAAAGCTACTACGAATTATGTATCCTTCTTAATTTTAGACAACAGTAATAAAACATTCTAACTTCTGATATCCCTTACATTTTATCTCAGATATGGCTATCACTGATGAATTAAGGCATTTAGAGCTTTATTTGTTAGATGAATTTCAGAAGGGAAGGAAAGTTACTGATTTGTATGAATTAGTACAATACGTTGGTAATATCGTGCCTAGATTGTAAGTCCTAATAAATACGGCATTTATGATTCGGTGTAATGATAGTCTGATGATACGTGTAATTTTCCAGGTATTTACTTATCACAGTTGGATTGGTTTATATCAAGACAACGCCAGGTTTAAAGAGAGACCTTTTGAGAGATTTAGTAGAAATGTGTAGAGGTGTTCAGCATCCCCTGAGAGGCCTTTTTCTAAGGAATTATTTGTTACAATGTACACGCAATATTTTACCAGATGTTGCAGAGGAGGACGATGAAGATGGGAGTGTATGTATCAAAAAGGGATGAAATATAAGGGAAGCGAATTAATGTGTATTCCCTGCAGGTTCGCGATAGTATAGATTTCGTTTTAATGAATTTCGCGGAGATGAACAAATTATGGGTGCGAATGCAACATCAAGGTCATACCAGAGACCGAGAAAGGAGAGAAAGAGAGAGAGAGGAACTACGAATTTTAGTAGGGACAAATCTCGTGCGACTGAGCCAGCTAGAGTCAGTTACTTTAGAGAAATATAAGAAGGTGGAACATAAATGCATTAAGTTTGTTTTGGCTTTGCGAGATTGATTGACTAACACCAATGAGTTTCAGCTTGTCTTGCCAGGAATTCTGGAACAAGTCGTCAGCTGTAGGGACGCGATCGCTCAGGAATATCTCATGGAATGTATAATTCAAGTAAATAAAATGAATAAGAATGCTTGAAAATTCATAATATGATACTACTTCGAAGTAATTAACACATCTCTTCGATTTAGGTATTTCCTGATGAATTCCATCTACAAACGTTAAATGCATTTTTGAAGTCTTGCGCTGAACTGCAGAACGGTGTGAATGTGAAAAATATAATTATTTCATTGATAGACAGACTTGCAGCATTTAGCCAGAGATCTGATGGCGTGGGAGGGCCAGGGAGCCCTAGTCAAGTACCAGGGATTCCACAGGATGTAAAACTCTTCGATGTTTTTAGTGATCAGATAGCTATCATTATACAGGTTCGTGGGATATTTAAAAGTATTCATTATTAACTGAATTAACTGAATTTCGATGATGATCAGATGCTACACAAATTTGATATCACATGATTAATACTTATCAATATTCAAATTATCCTTACTCATCTAGTTTAAGTCTGAGAATTCTTCGTTATGATAATAATCACTAAACGTTTAATTATCTATTTATTGTTAATATCGATTATTATTTACAGACCAGGCAAGATATGCCTCCAGAGGATATAGTGTCTCTCCAAGTAGCTCTCATTAATTTGGCACACAAATGTTATCCTGACAGAGTAAACTACGTAGATAAGGTGTTGTTGACGACTGTCCAAATATTCCAAAAGCAAAATGTAGAGAAGTATGTAATACTAAATAAATATATATATTTACACGGTAAATAATTGAAGACGAATCTGATATGTAATCTATTGAATATATTTACAGGCTCGAGTATAATAGTGCTGTATCAAGAGAATTAGTGAGGCTAATGAAAATTCCGATAGATAATTACAAGAACATACTGACTGTTCTGAAACTCGAGCACTTCGCACCATTGCTAGATTACTTTGACTACGAGGGCAGAAAGTTATTAGCCATTTATATAATAACAAACATTTTAGAAAACGAGACTCTTATACCAACTCAGGAGCAAGTAGATGCGGTTCTTTTAATGGTGTCTTCTTTGGTGCAAGATCAATTAGATCAACCTAACATAGAAGAAGATCCGGAGGACTTTGCAGAGGAGCAGGGACTCCTCGGTAGACTGATACATCATTTTAAGTCAGAGACAGCTGATCAGCAATACATGATATTGAGCGCGGCTAGGAAACATTTCGTTGCAGGTGGTAATAAGAGAATAAAGTACACTCTACCGCCAATTGTGTTTCAGGCTTACCAGTTGGCTTTTACATACAAGTCACTGCAAGATCAAGTTAGTAAACGATTAATTCGTTATTGCATTTATCGGCAGTTCGTCTAATTTTTACGTTCGTATTCTAGGATGAAATGTGGCAGAAGAAATGTCAGAAGATATTTCAGTTCTGTCACGCCACTATCACTGCATTAATGAAGGCTGAATTAGCTGAATTGCCTTTGAGGCTGTTTCTTCAGGGTGCGATAGCGATAGGAGAGATCCGTTTCGACAATTTCGAAATGGTCGCTTATGAATTTATGAGCCAAGCATTTTCAATATACGAGGATGAAATAAGTGATTCTAAAGCTCAGTTAGCAGCCATTACATTAATCATAGCCACATTTGAACAAATGAGCTGCTTCAGCGAAGAGAACGCGGAACCAGTACGCAACCAGTGTGCTTTGTACGCTAGTAAATTGCTCAGGAAGCCAGACCAGTGTAGAGGAGTTGCTACGTGTTCTCATATATTCTGGTCTGGAAAATCGTTAGTAACTGGAGGGAAGGAGGTGAGAGTTTTACTCATATAATTTTAACATTCGTGCAATTCTTTATAATTAATACTTATTTTTTAATGTCTTAGATGCACGATGGGAATAAAGTGTTGGATTGCTTGAAAAAAGGCATCAGAATAGCCAGCCAGTGTATGGATACTTCAGTTCAAGTACAACTCTATGTTGAACTGTTGAACCATTACATTTATTTTTATGAGAAGGGCAACACAGCGGTAGGATGAAATCATTTACATATTAAATATCACTTCACTTACTAACAATTGTTGTCAAGATACATAAATTTTGTTATTAGGTGACTGTTCAAATCTTAAATCAGGTGATTGCTAAAATTAGGGAAGAACTACCGAACTTGGAAGTTAGCGAAGAAACGGAACAGATTCAGAAGCATTTGGCTAATACTTTGGAACATCTGAGAAATAGGATGGAAACAGAATCTGGAGAAGACGATGGACTCTCATACCAAGGACTTGTCATCTAATCCGTTACGAACAATAATTTTGTACATACGAGTATAAGATAATTATTTTATAAACTGATTTTAACTTCTGAAATTGAACGCTTACTAGATGTATCGTCAGTACTCCAATTACATCAGTCTGTGTAAAGGAACTGTTAATAATGTAATAATCATTTGTTAAGTTACGAAATATATTGATTTTATATAGCTATTCGAATTTTCATTACCTAAACGTTAGATCGCGCCACCACGTCCGAAGATGGGAAATGAGAACTTTTACAAAATAAATATTTCAAGAATTGATTTATGAATTCTCATTATATCTTCTCGTTAGCGAAATCTTAAACTTTATTTTCGTACCAGTTAATTCGTACTTTCTCTTAAAACAAAAGGTCTCCTGAGTAAACATTTTCACCGTCTACGTATACAGTCTCTACATATGACTATTGATATTCAATAAACGCGCAACAAACCCTCGAGAGAGGACGAAGTATGGGGTTATTCGATCGTTTAGCAAATCTTTTAGGTCTTAGGAAAAAAGAAGTGAACGTTTTAGTAGTGGGCCTAAACAACAGTGGTAAGTCGACGGTCATAAATAATTTCAAACGTGAGGATGACCGTTGCATAGACATAGTGCCCACTGTTGGGTATAATGTTGAAAAATTTTCATGTAAGTTAAAGAGTGACGATCGAATAACGTTCGATCCTCAATTGACGTGCTTACAGCAATATTTCTACGTTGTTACTTGCACCTGCTGACCTGCCCAAGCACCAACCGGTTACTGTACAGAATTACGATATACGATGCGACATTTACAGTTAGTTTTAAACAGCAAATATATACACGTAGATAAGAACAAAAATACTGAAAAAGGGCGATGAATATTTAAACTTTTTTCTTTCTTTTCAAACCTTTCGACTTTGATACGGCACGGGAATTTATCTTTCTTTTCTTCGTATTATTCTTACTCTGTACCAGCTCTTCAGGTGCATTATTCTGAGCCTGTTCTTTTAGTTCACTTCTTTTTACCGCATTTGAATTAATTTCACTTAGTGTAATATCACTAATATCAATATTAGCTGATCTATCATGTCGTAATCTATTCGATCTTAACGGAGTACTGGTACATAATTTACTTTGTTCATCTATTTTTTTATTCTTGGCCACTACTACGTTTAACGATGAGGTATTATTCTCATTACTACTATTATTCTTAGTCTTAGGCGATTTCGATTTAGTTGGAAACTGAATCTTTATCTGTTTGAATTTAATTCCTTTCAAGTTGCTAACTGTAGGATTTACGACGACGACAGGCTTTGCATTTTCAGAATGGATTTTCTCATTCTGCGATTCTTCCTGTTCATTTTGAGAAGTAACAGGTCTGTTCTCATTTGAAACATTACTTACCTCTCGTTTACTTTTGTCCCTGTTTATCTCGTTTTTCTTCTTTCTAGATATAGAAGATTTCTTTTGCTTCACTGAGAAATGTGCCAGTAATCCCTCTTCTTCTAAACTACTTAACATCTAGAAACGAAAGTTACTTATTTAAACAGGGTCTCTATGCAATTGTTATCTTTAATTTAATTTAATTTAAGAAAATGTTCAATTCTACTTACGTCACATGCTAGTGGGCTGTCGATATCTTCTTCTTTAGTCCATACGAATGGTTCCATAATCGACATTTTATCAAATGCTACTTGCAACATAAACTCTTGGAAGCAACGTAAAGATTTCTTAAAACGTTTCGCGATCTTCTCATCTAATTTACTGTTTAACGAGGACTCGATCTCTATTTTGTGTGGCAGAAGATTATCAGAATTGTAGAAGAGATATACACTGATGTTCATAAAATTATCAGTCTCTTGATTATATATTCCCCTCAGTTCTAGAATGATGTGTCTGTATCCTAAAGATGATTGCAATTTGCAATTTTTTGTACGAGAAACAATATCCTGCAATACATAATATATCATTTATCTTTTAAACGAACGAATAGATTAACGAGACGTACCTTCAGTGCAATGTACTGTTCGTGCCTCATACAATAAGCATCTAGGTGCAGTTTGCAAAGTTTCAGGAACCTAGGTATATTTTTGACTTCATTAATCGGATTCTGAGACACCAAGTAATCCAGATCAATGCCCATAGGCATTGTCCACTTTCCTAAAGACCATTTGCCTTTCGTATTTATGATTTGCACAGCATACATGTCTTTCTTACTAGATTTATTCGAACACGAGAGGTGAAAGACGTGTTCGTCTCGCGTGAACTTGGCACACGAGAATCCAGACAATTCACGCAATTGATGTTCTAATAATATATTTATATCCTGGACTTGTGTCTCTGTAACCTTTAAAGTATCCAGAGGGAAGTCGCATTTGACCTGGCTAAATTTTACTATGCCCAAATTCGACTCCATCTGCGAAATTATAGACTTCAATCCAGCTATCTGTTTTTTTAATATAGGTTTCATTTCGTCCATGGCTTCTAAAATTAAATGACAAATACACAGTGTAATCTCTTAACAGCAGGGAGTTGGAATTTTAAGAATGTACAGCGTGATTTACCTTTTTTCTTTTGCGAATAATTTTCATTATTCTCGATACTTTTCGACGCGCTATCCGAATCCATGTTTTACAAGATGCTTTACAAGATATCTTCTTTCTATTTCTAACTTTATTGCCAATGTGTACACGTTTTCGTTTACCGGTATCGTTCTTTTGAACATGAAAACAAAGCAACAAGTGTCATTTAATGAAATAAGAAATAAAAAAATGTATGTCGTCCTTATGTTTCACGAACAGCGTGTAATTGACGCATAATAGAAATGAACGAAATGGACAAGGATGTTCTGTTGTTTTTCAGTTAAGAATATCAATTTTACGGCGTTTGATATGTCTGGCCACGACCGGCACAGGTCGCTGTGGGAACATTATTACAAAGATTGTCACGGGATTATTTTTATAATCGACAGCAGCGATAAACTGCGATTAGTTGTTGTTAAGGAGGAATTAGATATGCTTCTTCAGCATCCAGACGTAGCAGGTATTTTACTACACTATTTCCCGCGTTTCGTTACGTTCACGGATTATTATAGGGTGGCCATATTTTTGGGAGCGATATCGGGAATGAAATACGGGCGGGAATTATAATAACGCGCAAACAGCAAAAACTAACGAAATTCTTGTATTGGATTATTTAAAGTATATCTAATATTTGATCCTATACATAATTTATATGTGTAATATGCAAATACGGGAGTAAAGAATAAATAAAGAAATTCGTACGTCTCGTATTTCTTAAATAAATTTCATAGGGGTCAGACTGCTGAATCATCGTAGCTATAATATATATCTAAAATCTCATTACCGGTTAATTGCAGGCCGTAAATTACCAATCTTATTTCTGGCAAACAAGATGGACTTGCCTGAATCTTTAACTACTGTCAAACTCGTGGCTGGCCTTGGACTTGACCGGATTCACAACAAACCGTGGCACATACGTGCAACGAATGCAATCACTGGAGAAGGCTTACAAACAGGCATAGAATGGCTCACGGATCAAATTCGAGATATATATATTAATAAAAGATAATTAAATAAAATTGCACTACTCTTGTACCTGTACGTCTATCCATTGAATAAAATATTGACAAATTTATCCTAAGCAGAGAGGAATGTCGTCTCTGAGGATTTCTTCTCTGTCCTAATTAAAAGAATTAAAGTCATACAGTTTAAAAAACTTTTAAGCAATAATACAAAATTATTGTTATAATAAAACAGTTGTCATTTCTAGAACCTCTAGCTTTAATTTGAATTTCATCAAAATCCATGCAATGGAATCTGAAATAAAAAATTTTCTTAACCAATAATTGCCCTTTTCTACCAAATAATAGCTGTACATTTTTTCATTGAAATCAGAAAAAACGGATAAAAGTTTACTAATTTCACTACGCAAGCGTTCGTTCAACCGCGTTATTGATCCGAATGCGCAATATCACAGAGCGGCAGTCTCGTTCGAAAATGCGGACATCGCTGTTCGCAGTTCGACGCATTGTGTAAAAGAATCGTTTGACAGTTCGTCGCGACAAAGAAGAAAGTGTCCACAGCGAGGGGAATCGGAAGAAATGGTTGGACCGAATATCTCCTTGTGACTAACCGTTCCGGAAGGTGGTTCATCCTCTGTACAGGGCGCATCGTTTAGGACACCTTCCGAACACGAGCGTGGAAACCCGGAACTCGCAACGCTTTGCAAAGTGAGTAAAAATCCTCGCCCACGCACACGTGCGGTACTTGCGCTGAAAGGGAAATCGTAGGTGTATCCTGTGAGCCCTGTGACAGGGCCCGGCGCAGCGAGGTCCGTATGGGAATTAAGTCCCGATCCCGACATGGTCGGGCATCTACCGAACACTCCAGTTTCGAATACAGCTCATCAAAGCCATGGATCGGCTAAGGGCACCGAATTACAGCCGAGAAATGGTCCCGATGACCATGTCTATGCCGACGAAATTGCTCCGAGGCAAACGCCGTCGGAAGAAACGAAACGGATCTTTGAACTTCTTCGATCCGGGTATAGCTACGATTTAATTTCAGTTAATAAACTGGATTATAAAGGAGGTAATTGAAGTTGTATTTTTAGAGAGATTGGAGCCGTCGACGAATTAGTAGAAAAAAATGGGCCAAGTGTTTTAAGTGCGAGGGACGAATGGGGATATACCCCCGCGCACTGGGCAGCTTTGGATGGGAACATCGAAGTTAGTATCTGTAACTAATTTTCTTTGAAAAGAAAATCGTTAGTATGAAGGTATTTATTATTATAGGTAATGAGGTATTTAATCGAGCGCAATGGTCCGGTCGATCTCTCTTGTCTCGGGATCCAAGGACCAAGACCGATACATTGGGCTTGCCGGAAAGGTCACAGCGCGATAGTTCAATTATTATTGAAGGTATTTCATACGTTCATCATTTATTTCATGTTTGAACTTCATTCACCTATTTTTTTCCAGACCGGAGTAGCTGTCAATGCCGCGGATTTCAAAGGCCTAACACCTCTCATGACTGCTTGCATGTTCGGGAAATTTGCGACGGCCGCGTTTTTGTTAGGATCCGGTGCGCTAGGGCATTTAACAGACATAAACGGTGACACTGCCCTTCATTGGGCTGCATATAAAGGCCACGCTGAATTAATAAAACTACTCATATATAGCGGAGTAGATTTGCAAAGACCGGATTATTTCGGGTCCACGCCTTTACATTTAGCATGTCTTTCGGGGAACGTCAGCTGTGTTAAAATACTATGCGAAAAAAGTAAAATCGAATTAGAGCCCCGTGATAAAAATGGCAAAACGCCATTGCAATTGGCAAAAAGTCACCGGCATTCGGAGATTGTGAGAATACTGCAGGCTGAACAAAAGCGACGGGCCAGATGGATTCCACCTATGAATGAACTTTGGTTTGTGTCTCGATTCTTACGAAAAGTATTGTCATATTTTTCGCGCACTCATACCTGCTTTTCGTTCAACAGGGCACTGTTATTTGGCGGAGCTGGAAACAGCAAAGGACCTATATTATTATTCATGATATCCGTTCTTTTATGGGGATATCCGATGTATTTATTAAAGTGTATTCCATTAACTTGGAATCTCTTACGTGGCAGTCATTACTGCTTTATTTATTGGAACATCGTCATGTGGATCTCGTGGATCGTAGCAAACAGAAGAGATCCGGGCTACGTACCGCAAAACAGCGAGACCTACTACAGAGCAATTAAACAGGTACATCTGGAAATTCTCGATTACGCGTAAGAATTTTGTGCATCGATTTCCACGAAATAATCTTGCGTTTTCAGATCCCGTATTTTGATAAATGGAAAAAGAGGAATGTGCTGTTATCGCGATTATGCCATAGCTGTAGATGTTTCAGACCTCTGAGAGCTAAGCATTGCAGGATTTGTAACAGATGCGTTACATATTTCGATCATCACTGTCCATTTATATATAATTGCGTTGGTTTGAGAAACAGGTAAAATGATCTACAATACATGTGTTAAATAATCATTGATTATTAACAATCGATCGTTATTGCAGAATGTGGTTTTTCCTTTTTGTTACGTGCGTAGCAATAAATTGTTCCTTTACCATTTACTTCGCTTGTTATTGTATGGCAATTGAAGGCATACAACTGTTGTACGTATTGGGTGTATTAGAAGCACTAGTATTCTGCGGATTAGGATGGATTCTGACCTGCACTTCAGTAAGTACGAGAATTATCCCGCTCTAAATCAGTTATACTAATCGTTTTATTCTTTTGCGCAGGTATTACATGCATGCATGAATCTGACCACGAATGAAATGTTCAATTATAAAAGGTATTCGTACTTAAGAGACAAAAGGGGAAGGTATTTGAATCCTTTCAGTAGAGGGCCCGTCCTCAATTTTATAGAATTCTTCTTTTGTCCCCCGAATCACCAAGTAAATGATCCTCAAAATTATCAAATACTATCGGAAGATATCATGTGAACAATTACCAATAATATCGCACTTTTAAGAAGTAAAAATGTTCTGAACAAAATTAATATTACGTCTTTAACGACTGTAACATATGTACCTGCACGTAATGTTGCTTTTAATATTGTAGCTTTTTACTTACGATAATGAACGAAAGGTTCTATATACTTATTATATTAAATATGATTTTAAATAAAATCAGACTTGAAAAGAATCATTAAGGGTATCGTACGTAATATTTTTATTCCTTACATGATTGTTAGATTAAAAATGTGTACGTTATTATGCAAATGTTAAAAATTGATACATGTATATATAAATTATTTCTAAAATGTTATATATAATTTTTATATGTAAAATATAAAATGTATCTTTGGTACTGCTAAAAAACGACCTCGTTTTATAAAAAGCTTTAAATAAGACTATGTTCTCACCTTGATACATGTCCAAGTGTCGTCGATTAATAAAATTGCCGTGATAATTATTAAATACGGAATGAAATTCTTACTTCAGCTCGTAGCAAAAATCGTAATTCGGCGGAGGGTCAGGGATGGCAGGCGGATCTTGCGGGATATCAATTCCTTCTGTATCTAAAAGTCTTAATTTAATGTCCATGGACAGCAATGTCTCCAAGTCGTTTTCTGCTTCTTTACTAGCCATTCTATTGCCTGCAAATGAAGTTTACATTTTTTAATTATAAATGCCATTCGAGAACAATGTAACTACGTACCGAGCAGAGCATTGATACCATCAGTCCAATAATCAAAGACTTGTTCATCGGGTGCAACGAAGTCTAAACTCGATACTTCGACAGAATCTAAAATTAAGGAGAACGCTAATTGATGCGTCGTCTTTCGTCTTTGCAAATCTTTCATATGAGGACAGTCTCTGCCGGTTAGCAAAGCGCGAATTTCGAGGACTGCTAGTTTCGTTGGCAGTTCGTCTATCGTCGGTACCGACTTCTCGTCACAGTCACCGTAATGAAATACTTTGTGATTAGGTGAGAGCCTAACATACCAAAATTTATCCTTGATTCTCTGTAAAGTATAACAATCGTTAAGGTTCTAATTCAATTTTGAGAAACAATGATAAATACCTGTCCTCTAGTGCTGTACTTCATGAATCTAGTGCCTTCTACTAAAAATCCTAAGCGTTGCTGTTGAATAAGATCTAAAATCTCCGGCGTGATTTGTTCTCTAAGTTCAACGATCGGCCTGGCATGGCTTTCCCATTCTTCTCTGCTGGTTCTCTCTTGCTGCCACAAACTGGTGATCGTTGAATACGTCAATTGTTGCAATTTATTTTTGAACATATCCAATCCCGTAGGTTTACACTGAAGTGCCCTAGTTATCTGTTCTCGCACGACGGAGAACACTTTCACGAAATCTTCAGTAGTGGCTCTCATCTCTTTCCAAGTCTTATTTAAAAGAACTATGCATACGCAGTAGAATTCTTCGAACGGATGATCGTGCGTAAAAAACATAGGATGATACGATTGGCCTTGTTCACTAGGCGCTTCTCCAATACGTAATACTTCGCAAAGTAATTTGACGAGTTCCACGCTGGTTCTACCGAAGGGACACTCGTGTTCATCCGCTCTACAAGAGTTTTCCAGCACGACTTTGGTATAAGCCTCGGTGTGATTGCGCGCGAAGTAAACCATGCAATCTAAAGCGAGCATGCCGGGCGGTGTTTCAGTAAAATCGAGGGCTGGATTGATGTCGTATTTAAAGCCTAATTTTTTATAGTCTTTGGCGAAGAGGCCTTGTTTCCTAGCGGTGACATCTCCGCTCACAGCTCCTTCAGTGTCAAAAGCAATTTTTCGAAGTTCTTTAATCTTGTCATGCGCGTCTTGATCTTGCGGGTCCATTTTCGTCATCATTCTCTGCTCCCACAGGCTCAACATGAGCGTTTGCAGTATGTATAATTGATGTGCCATTTCCGCACCAACCTACATTCAAATTCAGTTATTCGACGAACCTATATAAATGTATGTTGCGATGGTGAAATTGATTTGGATACATACTTGACCAGTGGATTGTATAATGTTCGTCAAGAATACATTTCTAACTTGTTTGGATTGGAGAGTTGCTGCAACTGCTCTTCGTTTAGATAAATCAGCCTTAAGAAGCAAAGCATTTATTAGAGCTATCGCGTTTTGTTGTATCTGCGGGCATGCACTTTGTAAATGCATCACCAAATTAGGAAATGTTACTTCTTTCTCAACTTGTCCATATTTCCCCGAGGAATTCAACACTATATTTTCAAGAATACTAAGCGAAGCTTCAATAATATTAGTGTCCTGGGTTACGGCTTGATTGTTCACGTAGCTTGCCACTTTATTAATGAACGGTGTCTCCAATATGTCCCATGAAACAATTCCGTGGTCCATCAGTTCCACGAAAGATTGAAGCGAATACGCAAGTGCGTTTCCTTTGTACTTTTCACTCTCGACCTAACAGAAGCGCATAAAATTCGGAAATAAAGATGTATGTCAATGTAATTAAACTTCATGTAAAATACCTGAGAAATAATTAGAGCCAATCCTTGCTTATTAATGAATTCTAGCGCGAACGTCATATCTGTGCTGAGGTTGCTTAATTTTTGCAAAACGGCAGTTTTCTCTTCTGTAGTCCCATTGTTCAGTTTGGTTAAAATATCACAGGCTGTTTTCGACGGGGAAAACTCTAATCTCAGGATACTGCCATTTTTCACTTCGTTCCGATTCTTCTCTGTGATATAATTTTGATTGTTATTTTCCGAGAATTGTAACGAATACGATTCAGGATCAGAAAGACCCCACCCATTGCACAGATCCTTTAGAACAAAAATAATAGTATTATTGACAACCAATTTGTCTCAAGACTGATCAATGTAAATGAATCGTATAATACGTCAGTAAGACGAGAAATTAATGTAATTGAAAGCATAGTGAATTACAATTTGACTTGAAATACCTGAATAATTCCTGTAAGCGGGTGATTTTGATTAAATTCAATGAGCTGTGGCATTTGGTTGGTCATTTCCACCGCGATCTTTACGATGTTCGAATCCTTCTGGACCGGCATTTTTATTGTCTGCGTGTGCATAAAGTAATTAAAAAACGATCCTTGATAATTATCGTGAAACGACACGATAATTGCCGGTCCAGGCCGCTTCGAGGAACACTACAAATCTGACGTATCTCTTGTCATAACAACGTGACGGCCATTGTGTTAGACTTGTGTTCAATCGTAAGGCGTCCACTTCATTTACGGTGCCGCGCCCTACCACAGGTTCGTATGGAGGCGGTCTGAATGAACTCAAACATCGGTTAAAAAATTTAGAATCTTTTTATTCCACTACACGCGTTATTGCGTAACGTTTACAAAATATCTCCTCTGTAATACTCGATTAAAATCATATAGATAATGGTTAAATATTATATAACAATTGCAATCGACATGCAAGCTTAATATTTAGCATTTCTTTATCACATGTTTAATGCCTATGTAAATGACCATACAATTCATTCATATATTAAATCCTATACTAATTGGCTTCGAGGAGAACAGCAGAAAGAAATATTATATGTATAATATGTTACAGTGAGAGTCAAAGTTTCCAATCCCACGGTATGCACAATACACCGTCGCTCATCACGGAGTAATAGTGCGTCACCCAGAGCATGACACCATTGAGTAAAGGAGCCAAAACATTTTTATGCAGTAACAAACGTTCACAGCATTGAATCATCAGATCAGGTGTTATACTGTCGTCCTTATTCAGAACGGTTAAACCTAATTCCTTAACGACTTTATCATGAAGTTCTCGTTCTACGTACTTTATGCTGAAAAGAAATAGTATTCAAACAAATTTGTCGGAGGACGCATCATGAGATGATCTTACTTATTGTAATGATGTAATCTCTTCGTGGCTTCCTCCAAGTTTTCCGTGATGAAGTTAACCAAAAGGAAGCTTGGGCAAGAAGATGGTACTATGAATTGTCCGGTAGGAGAGAGCATCAAGGGACCTGCTTCACTGAAATTAAAATTGTTTCTATTACTCGTTAAGTTTTAACTACGCAATGCGTCGTACTTACAAATACATTATAACAGTTAAATGTATGTTATACTTACGAACGTGCTGAAAATAAAAGATAAGGGAGACGTTAAATAGGACAGACAATACTAACGCTTCAATTACAATTTCGTAAGTGGACAGATCGGCCGGCCACACTTTCGGATATGTTCGTCGCCCTCGGTAATCCGAGAGGGTCGTAGTAAGCTGCCGAAGCTGACGTTCGTACTGGCTAACCATTACTTTGGGCATGAATTTCCTGCACATATAGAGTACCCTGAGCCTTACCGTCACTCAATTAATGTGTTGTATTACGCACCGTCGACCAACTTTAATGTCAAGAAGCACTTGCGAGACTGCCTTCTCGAAGGCTGGTAATCTCAACAAGACCACATCATACTTTCGAATGTTTTTGATCAGCTGCAGGAAAGATATCATACATTCATCGAATAGAATGAAACATTTTGTAATAAATATAACTACGGTAATTTATTCTTACATCAAGCCAATTGTGCCTAACTTCACCTGAATTTAACATAACATTCCCCTCAAGACTAATGCCTGTGTCATTGGCGAACACGAGTGTTCTATCGTTCAAGACATCCATAGGTTCGGGATGATGTTCAGCCAGTGCTTTGAACGCTAGTAAACATCCTCTGTAATGAGTTATATTCCAGCCGCAGTCCCATATGATATTTTTTAAACCCAATTTACTGCACAATATCTTTTCTAACTTTTCTACTTCTTCTCTCATTGGCCTGCATGCTTCCAGCTTTACATGTACTTCGTTAATATGTTTATCTAAGTATGCCCTTTGGAAACGTGAATTCAATTATTTCCTGTGTTAAACGTTTGGCTGAGAGGAATTATTGAGGACCATACTTAAGTGTATCTGGCTCTATATTAATTTTCCTTTTCATTAAAATAGATGCGTAAATGGGATCATCTTCTAACTCTGAGAAATCAATGTCTTCCCCCGCTCCTCTTCTTCCCCAAAATCTCGACTTGAACTTTGTACTTCCTGGTGGAGTTTTCGGTTCCTCGATCTGATCCACGAACGTCGTTGGCAAATCGCATGTCTTCAGAATAGACAAAATAGTTTGCCTCAGATCCTTTTCTTTCAACTGTATCTGCACCAGAGTGAACTTCCCAGCTTTTAGCTCCTCCTCATTTTTCGAACGCAAATAAAACGGCAAAATTGTAGGCCTTATCGGTCTCTGTTGTTGCAAGTTCTCTATAATAGAACTCAGCTGTTTCAAAGAATTCTCATTCACTGTCTGAAACATGAACACATCAGAATAGAACGTGTCTTTCTATAAATCGTGATCAATCGACGCGCTTACTCTTTGTGTAGGGTATTGTCCGAAAAGGTCTGGGTGAACGGTGAAATAAAAAGGTCGTAGTGCAGTGGATATTTCGCCCGTGCTTAAAGCTCTCACCGCGTCGTGCCTGTAAAAACTACGGGGAAACAATTGTTAATGTTCGATTGTCACAGTCTTGTTTCAAGAATACGTTCACGCGTATTTTGTTTACCATCTTCCCAGCGCACAATACATTTTGTAATTTAATATGAAGTCATCACACCGTGCATATCACGTAAAAAGTTTACGCGTTGAAATGCGATATTTATCGCATTTGCCACTCATCGGGCCAACTGAAAGCGTAGTGCATTAATATAAAAATAATAAATTTGGCGCACATTGCTCGTATACGATGGATACGTGAATCTAAATATAAAACCAACTAACGTTTTATTCTTCGGACGATTCACTTTGTGTAGCATTACTGTATACGCAGTGTACGCAAACACGGATAACATTGGACTTGAACCTCTTTTCCTTTTGTCTAATCAATGGTGGTATCTATATGTACATAAAATAAACGCGGACATGTGCATTATATACATATACACTAATATTGGTGGACGTTGTTTCATTAAAAATAAATAACGCTCAGTGACACGTTGCATGTAATCTGGCTCGAGTTTTTATTTATACTATGCGATATACGAAAACATGACTCGCTTCGTCGTTTCGCACTATGCATACATCGCACTGTTTTAATCATACATCATTGGCTATTGTTATGTCGGCGCATCAGCAGCAACAGCTGTTTTTACATCTGTCGGTGTAAACAGGAGGAGGAATAATGGAGAGAGGAGTGCATCCGGATTAAGTAATAATGCCTATATAATATTAATGCCAGTGCGTTCAGCTTTTCACCCGTGCTTAGTCACAGGTGGTCAAGGTAATGACTTATATGTACCATCGAGTTTCTCGAGAGGCTTTCAAACAACGATACGCTAAGAAAATGCTGTCGCTGTCACTCGTTTCGCGGACGTGATTCGCTAAGCATGGAGTTAATGAGCTATGATAAATATTAACTGTGATAACAGTCTATCTGACAAAATGTAAATTGATCACTGTTCTAAATGCTTATGAATCATTGAGCAGAGTGATATTGTTATAAACAATTTCTTACAGAGTATTGTAAGTACAAACCAACAAGAAATGTTTTAAGTTTGACGTTGATTAACTTCGGTAGATGATCAAGTAATTTTTTGTTTATCACTTTCAGCTTCACCATGGCATATTCTATCAATAGAAGACCTTTATTAGGACACACGTCGGATAGCGAATTTGAAGATGATTTGGAAACTGAAGTCGACGATCCCACAGTTTCTGTGCCAGATGAAAAACCATTTTTAAAACAGTACGAACCATGTGACAGGTAACAATTGCTTTAAATGATTCAATATTTTATAATACGCCTGAGGGAATTTACTTTAATTCTGTCTTTCAGATATAATCTTGCTTATATTGTATTTTATTTGCTTGGGATAAATACATTGATTCCTTGGAGCTTTTTCATCACAGCTGATGACTACTGGATGTATAAATTTCGTGAGGTACATCAAAATTGTACAGAAAATAATAGTTATACTCATATAGAGAATTTAGAGAAGAAAACTGATCTCCAAGCGAGTTTTACGTCGTACTTAAGTGTAGCGAGTGCCCTACCGAATACATTCTTTTTAATCATAAACGCACTTCTCAGTAAGAGGTAAGCGAAGTTTACATAATTTCAGTTATATAACGAACAGGAAACAGATTCCGATAGATCGATTGAAACGGAAAAATGTTTGAAATAGAATTCCCTTACGTGCGAGAATGGTCGGCTCGCAGTGTTTAATACTATTAATTTTCATTTTCACAACAATATTGGTTGAAGTGAACACAGATAAATGTAAGTTCGATTTATACTAAAGTGTAACCGTTTGATGTTTGAGGTGAAATCTATAAAAGAATGTTTAATTCCAGGGCAATCAACTTTCTTAGTAATTACCTTGACGTCAGTGGCTCTTGTAAATGGTACATATTGAAATTGGAAGTATTATTAAAAATTAGGATTCTTTAGGTGAAATAATAAATCATTTGATTGATAGCTGCGAGTGCAATTTTCGGAGGTAGCTTAATGGGTATCCTTGGACGATTCTCTCCGAAATATATAACTGCTATGTCAAGCGGACAAGCTCTCGGTGGGATTTTCACTGCTGCAACAGAAATATGTTCACTGTGGATCGGTGCTAGTCCTATGTTATCAGGCTTAGTTTATTTTATTATTGGAGACGTCATACTGTTTCTATCTTTGATAGCATACATAGTTCTGGAAAAGGCGGTAAGCAGTTTAGCATGTTAATTAGTATTATTTACCGTACAGATGTTTCATAAGTAGCTTACGTTAATATATACGTAAACACTATTGCACGTTCGCGAGTTAAATTACAGCGACAATAAGAATATCGTATGTAACAGGCATTCTTTAAGCATCACGTACTAGAGAAATTGCCTGAGAACGTGGAAGCAGATTACTCGATAACTGGGGAAGTAACTTTTCCACAAGGCACTACGATATCTTATTCACGTATCGTTAGGAGAATCTGGCATTATGGTGTCAGCGTGTTTTTAGTATTTTTTATATCACTGTCTGTGTACCCGGCAGTGACGGTGTTAGTGGAGAGTGAAAATAAAGGCAAAGGATCTGCATGGAATGGTAAGTATTAATGAATTTTTACATATATAAAACATTCATAATTCATGTTTCCACTTTGATAGATATCTACTTTGTACCAGTGGTGACATATCTACTTTTTAGTTGCGGCGATTACGCTGGTAGAATATTATCAGGTATTTTTCAATGGGTAAGTAGTAAACAGTATTCCAAGCAATGTGAATTACTATTGTAATAATATTCGAATTTTATCATATTTTAGCCGAGAAATAAACCGTGGTTGTTTATGACTCTAAGTTTATTGAGAGTTATCTTTGTACCAACTCTCATGTTCTGTAATGCTCAACCCAGATACCATTTACCTGTTTACATACATGGTGATTTCTATTATATTATAATAACTATTCTGTTCGCCATGAGTAATGGCTACTTGTGCAATTTAACATTTATTTTAACTCCTACGTAAGTATTACAGTTTTATGTCAATTTTATTCAATGAAACTTGCTACTAATCGTTTTCAAACAGAGTCGTAGAGTCTCAAGAGAGAGAGATTGCGTCTGCTATGATGGGAGCTTTCCTTGGTGTGGGATTAGCGTCAGGTGCTGCGCTCAGTTTAGTCATAGTCAAAACAATTTAATTTATTCACCGGATGATAAATATTTGACGTAATTCACCCTACTGCCCATTTTGCATTTGAAATAGGACCACAGGACTTGACGTCCGTTCTTGTAAAAAGCTTCATTTTATACTCCTGGACGAGCTATATGAATGTAATATTTGATATATTACGACGAAGTATTTTTTAAGTATTTCACCAAAGAATTACGTACGTGAAACTTGACCATTCCAGAAATGTGTAAGGTATTCCATGTAGTACAAACTGAAAATAATTGTATCTCGAACTAGATGTTGTAGATATATAAAATACATGGTATATGTAATATGTAAAGAATTTATTCTACTTTTTGGAGAAAAGTAATTGTCTAGCTAGTACGTATATTTAAATGATTTATTGTTAACAAATCAGAGTACAATAAATTAAAATAGTTCTGTCCATTCTCTGTTAAATCTAAATATAACAATTTGTATTTAGTTTTAAGGAGTAATTAATAAAAACGTGATTAAGATTAGTGCTTCTAAACTTGTTAATGCTGTCCCCCAGGGACGTAGTTGAGAATTGCACGAGAGCTGTGAGGCACGAAGGATAATAAATAGTTTCATGAACGTCGGTGACTAGAGTTATAATACATTTAATTTGAAACCGATACCGACACGTATGAGAACTAAAACTATATCTTTACAATTTGTGTGCAGCTCGCAAAAGAAATGCTCACTTATTGGAGCATACATGTATCTCATGATGGGCACTGCCTAGTTTTACTGGTCAATGGAACGAAAACTACGCTTGTGAGGGGAGTTTTCTTAATCTGACCATCCGTTGTCTTATCAACCTGCACCAGCATCTGATCTGAATTTTCTCTACCCACTGGTAAAACCATACGTCCCCCAGGAGCCAATTGATCGATTAACTATACAACAAGATGTTTCAATAAGAATAATGAATGAATTATGCACAGATCAATAGTTCAAATTATCCTTACGGCTTGTGGCATTTCTTTAGCAGCAGCCCCTACATGAATCGCATCGTACGGTGCTTTCTCCGGATATCCTTCTCTCCCGTCTCCAACTAAAATATCAAACATTTACCACAAGAACAGAGCAAAACGTTTAATAAATGTACAAGATATTTAACAATGACAATTACCGATTAGCTGGATTCGACCACTTCGAAGGAGTTCTGGATTATCTTTCTCAATATTCTCAATAGCAAATGCCTTAAGTTCAGGAATATGATCCATTCCTACGACTAATCCATTTGGGCCCATCATTATTGCCATACAAGCAGTCAAGTATCCAGAACCAGAGCCAACGTCTAATGCCCTGGCACCGTCGTGTAATTTGTCTTCGAGTACTTCCAAAGCGTAAGCATGCTACAGAATCATAGTTCATTAGTATAATTAATTATATTTTAATTTGAAGTTATACGTACCATATGAGGAGCACTTATAGTAGCACCATAGCCAATTCCTTGTGGGGAATCTATATACGCATAGGTAGAATGAGTATAATTTCCTCTGTCTACAGAAGCCATTGCTTCGTAAACTCTGTTGGATTTAATTACTCTCGATCCTAAAATGTAATATGTTTCATGTAGAATATCTTATGTGCTGTCAAGGAATAACTAGTTGTACTTCGCTTACTTTTAAGGTGTTGCACCAGATCGTGATTGCTTTTTGCATGAAATCTCCCGGACCAGGCCATTTCATACGCAAACACCGAAAATAATAAACTTATCACTATGAAAATAAAATAAGTTAAATATTGGGACTGAATTTTGAGGCCGTAAGTTATTACGACGTTTGCTAACACCCGGCAACTTGTAGTTCCGAGTCCACTTGTACGATTTCTCGAATTATCTATGCAGTTAAATAATATTTTATTTGGAAATAAAGGAATAGCTTTGTTAGTTAATCATCGCTGCTATGAATTACGAAGATTGTTTGATAACACACTGAACGACAAGTAAATATAAAGCCTGACGACGAAGCTTCTTTTGAGTATAAAAATCTCGTTCTTTGGGAATAAAATTTATTTGAATTCACTCAACGTAACTGTTTATGTATAATTCTTATTCTGACATGCAGGTATTCTCTACTATCTATTGCAAACTTTTAGCCTTTTCTTGGCTGGCCTCTATCCGGTATCTCGGGTGTCCCTGCGGAACAGCTGACAGATTTAAATTACATGTATGCACAAGCACGAACGAGGTATATATAAAATATAAGGTAGATTTCGACATATTTTGCAATATCTCTTAAAGTTCCCTGATTTACCGATTCAGTTGTTAAATGTAGTTACAGATATGGCCGCTGGGTGGCGGACGTAGGACCTCGACGCGTCGTGACTGTCGTGAACTGAATAATGGCGGGCCATCAGTGCAAACAGTTGTGCTTTTAATCAAGTGAGTGTAAAATAGTTGGTTGTTAATTGAGACGAAGGGTCAACGTCGTCGAGTGATCTACCAAATGAGACTCCAACTAGGTCCAGTTAGATGTAAGTTGCCATTTTATTGAAACGATGAATTTCTTTATACAACTTTTACTGGTTGGCTTGTTGACTACAACTATATGTATCCTGCCTAGAATTCGTAGCGAGTAGAACAGCAAGCTAAGTAAATCGAGTAGCATCCTGTATTATTCTCGCAATTAACGGCACAGAAAAACGATTTTAAGGATGCTCTCGATTCATTACATTCGTTTGTAAATTGGTTGAGGTTTGAAAGCAGCAATCGCATCATTGCATGCCTGTAGGGATGCGACCTCTACGTCCTCTACAATGTTTGAAACAGCGTACGAAGCTGAAAGTTTTGAAATTCATTGAAATCAATATACAAACGATTGTAGGTACACGTTCTTGTTTGATAAATGCTGAATCAGCTATTAAATTGATTTCGCCTACTGCGTACGTACATACTATCAATAACGTATATATAAAAGCGTACAAAACACGTTTACGGGGGCGCGGTACGAAATACTAATTCGTTTTTCTTACTCGCGTATTTTATATCGCTTCTTCGAAGATCCGACCTCTGTACAGATGAGCGATGATCCTGCGGTGGGTCTTTCTAAGAGAGAAAGAAAAAGAATTTACGCCTAATGCTCATACCATTTGTCTTCGCCTTTCGTTTCACTCCGCAAAACATACAAACGTAATCAGCCACAGATAAATCGAGCGCATGAATTCCAAGTGTTCTTACTTCACAAATCTATTTCATACTGTTTCCTCGCTTTGGTATACGACCGACGATATCTTTTACAGCGACGATTGTGCATAGAGCGTTTTTAAGGAAGGGATGCAGGATCTGAGTCTCGTTAACAGTTCTCGCCGTTCAGATCTACAAATTCATCGGGCAAATCGATTACTAGCGATTTATAAAAACTGCAGCACCGTTATCTCTCGATTCTCGAACAGCAATTGAGTATAAGTGCAGGCAGAATAACGTCCTCGTTCCGCTGTTCAAGGGATCGAAGGAGGGCGATTAATATCGAAACGTAGAATACTCAAACGCGATTCGCTAAAGCGTCCTTAGCACTACGTGTAACGTATCACTGTCCTCTGATCGTAGTATAAAAAAAAATAGGGGGGAGCGACGGAGTATAGTAATGAAGTCTCGCTGGATGTAGCAGGCTACATTTATACATAACTGCTTCGGGGGTACATATACATATATCGAGACTCTCGCGAGAGGTACTCGGAAAGTAAATGGCACCGTCGATTTCCTCACGCTCTCTTTTCATTGGCACGTGTTCTCTTCCATCCAGTCTCTCTCTAGCTTCTGTATCGGTGGTTCAGGTTCGTGTGGTAATTCGCAATCGCGTCGAACTTGTCCTTCTTCCGGGGACATTTACCCTGTCGCCTCATGTACTCGCCGAATTCGCAGCCAGGCGTCGCGCATTCCTCGTTTTGAATGCATCTGCCAATCAATGAAACGAATCAATATTTAATATTTTAATACATTAATTTACATAAGGCATCGAATGTCTTGTAATTCGAAACTCACATTCTATCGGCGAGGGAGAAGTATCCTTTTCCTCGTCTGATCTTGATACAATTTTGATGGTCTTCGAAGCAATTGCATTGGCACTCGCCTTCGGACGTGATCCTTGGTGTGAACTCCGAAGGGCATCGACATCTACAGAATTATAAATCGTTCGTTGATCGAATTTTAGGGAATATTAAAAGAGAGATGCATTTGTCTTTTAAGTTTAAAACTTACGGCTTTCTCGGTTGGGCTCTCCTCATGTTCTGAGGATGAGGCGGGGACTGATGGTGCCTGTAGACTCGATGCTCGGAGGGCCTCTCGTTGCCCGTGTCGTACTCGGTCCTCTCCCGGCACTCGCATTCCGTGTGGTTGTAGAACGACAGCTTTTCCACCACGCTGCTGCCGCCCACGTTCGTCGTCTGGAAGAATAAAAATGGCAGGAACGGATCGTTAGCACTCTGCGTTCTCCAATGATATCGCGGCGGAAAATCGCGGCTTCGCTTAAAAACGCAACGCAATCGTCCGGGTATCGCTTCAGTTTTAATTGAGTTCAATTAACCTCAGTCCGTCGGCCGGCTGGCCGGTTTTAAAGTGGAGGAAAAGGGTTATCCGTATCGCGGGACCAACTACTTCAATCGACATTAATTACTCCCCGTTTCTATTTTTACGAGCCACGATTTCCACTCGCGTCCCTCGGAGATATTTATGCCTCATGGATTCGGGACACGAATCTGAACGAAATACATAATATCGTGAGGAAAGAGGCTGTTGAAACCGTGAACAAGCTACTATTAATTGCCGGCTACTGGCCGACGCGGCCGGAATTCGCTGGCTGATAAGCCTACCTCGCATTTCAATTATTTCTCATCCTCGTATCGGGAATACTTGATAGAAAGCTCGTAAATCGCGGCTGCTCCAAGGAATACAGATTAGCTCGGGCACACCTGGTCCGAGGAACGAAACCGATAATTACACCGCATACAGAATAGAATTTGCACGGACTCAAATGTATGTACTCAATTCGTAATAAGCGTCATCATTTCTAATTTTATTTTTTATATCGATATCACGAATGTCTTAGTTTGCATAAAAGCTCTACGTACTAAAATAGTCTTATAATTGCTCGGATCGAAGATCAACGCTTGTACGCGTAATTGATCGCGCTAAGTGGGTCGTAGGATCGCGGCCGGGATCGATGACAATGAGCTAGCGGAACGAAATGCCGCGATCCCGTGTCCAAGGGTAGTCGCGATGGGATTCCACGGATGGGCGCGGTGATCACGATGTTCAAACGTCAATCGATTCGTCCAAGTAGCGATCGAAAGTTAAGGGAGAAGCGGCGGATTCTTGACACCTTCCGTTTGCGCAATTGTCGATTACAGGGAGGTTCGCTCGTCTTTATTAAGTGTCACGTGGGCAGTAAGTTATAGGGGATGTGTAGTATATTTAGTGATCGATCGGATAAACCGCATGATTTCGCGATTCCTTGGCGGATGAATATTTCCTGACGGAGGATTTTTTAAAGTCGTCAGGTTACAAATGGACCCGAGGTTCGCTTGAAACATTTGAAACCTTATGAAATGTTAATGGTATTCACGACTTATGGATGAGCTCGAAGAAAGCGAGGCGATTCTGTTCGAAAGAGTACGCGTGTTCCTACATGGAGTAAAGGTAACGCGGTACGTTTCCGTGGGACGAATAATAAAGAAACGGCGAGGACAAATTGCTCGGCGGAGTAGCGCGGGTCGGTTTTTTGTTCGCTGACAAAGCGAAAAGATCTTCCCGGATCTTTGTAATACGAACTCGGCTCGTGGGCCCTCTACCACCGGCCACACTCTGTCAGGACGGAGGATTGAGATTCGCGATCGTCCCTGACGAATAGCCTGGCCGGGAGATCGTGGTCATAAATCGTCTACCGCACTGCCGTGCCTAGCCAGGCCTCTTATCCCTCGAGGAATCTCGTCCTCCGCGAATCCGGATAACGTTGAAACGGGTCCATCAATCGGGGCCTGTGTTTACCGATTTCTTAGTCTGTTCGAACATCTGGCGAGAATTTCATGAAATCGCGCCTCCTTTTTCTATGGAACGTACTCGGGCAGAAATCGCGAAGGGACGTGGGTAGGTGGAGTGATCCCGATGCTCATTGTCACGCCGTTTTATCTCTCCCGATCGCGCCGTACCCTGTGGCGATGCGTATATCCGCCTCGAATTTTGGCATATACTTTTTGCACGGCTCTCCGGCGAAAAATCGAGCGTGAACGATGCGCTTCCGGTCGCGGCGTGTCGGCCGCCTTCGCAAGGGGATGCGCCCATCGTGTACAAATCCCCCATGGCGATCGAGCTCTACCTTTTGCTCGTGAACGTATGAAAATTTCTGATCATATCTCGGCGACAGTTTTCAAGTTTATCGTCGCGTGGGAGGAGCCCGTGAAAGAATCAAGTGCCAGTTTTATATTGAAACTGGTACCCCTTTAAAAAATGTTGTATGACTGCGTGGGTTTACGTTGTAACACGTTAGATGTATTCGGATAATGAATTGGCCGTCACCGTCTCTATCAATCAGCTTCAAACTAATCGAGAGATCGACACAATTCTGCAAACCATGACATTAAAAAAAAAAACGAAGTCAAGAAAAACGCAGGAACGAAATTTCTCAGAGTATTTTCCTGTGGGATCGAGCAGCTGACCGAGCGGCTCATTAACATTCACCGTATCTCGCTCGGGGCACCCACTCGTGAATGAAACACAGTGAAATCACGAGCCTCGGGATCGGTGAACCGTGCCGGTTGCATCTTCGAGCATCGTGCCTCCCGTGTTTCCTGCAATTTTCGGGATGCAAAGACACGTTTCGTGACTCGTTCCGCGATTCATCTCCTCCGACGCGACGACTTACAAAGAGCCTTACGAATGAGACGTTTGCGGGTCTCCCGATTGTATTCCGATGTAAGCGGTACTACTCGCCGTTCCCAGGGGGTTGTACCAGCTTACGGTACAAGACGCGGTAATTGCCTCCGGTAACTCTTCCCCGTTGCTCGCTAACTATTCCAACGTTTTTCAAACAACCGACGGTCTACGTGGAACAGGTATAAACCACGAAAGCTTTCCCTCGGCTCATTTATTGTACTCGTTAGTACTGATGCGATTAGGGAAGGACTTTCTTGTTTCCGATGAACGACGTCTTTCATCGAAAGTATACACCTATACCGGGCGGTCGATCGATCCGTCAATCAATTCGACGCTCTGATAAACGAGACAGCAGCTGCGGAGCCTGTGTTTTCGCATGCAAATGCATTGCTTTCCCTTCTACCTGCTTCAAGCTCCAATTTTTGACCACCTACAGATTTCTTATTCCCTTCGTCGGCGCTTTTACCCACGCTCCATCGATTCATTCAGTTAACCACTCCCAACTCCACTTCAGCGTGGGTTGATAAACGTTTTGGCAGACTGCCGGCGAGGAAGTATGCCGAGTGTTTGCGTATCCTTCGTGCCTCGAGACACTCGATACCTCAGTGTACAACATATTGGCTACAGATTTTTGTTGGAGTGTTTTATCGGATTTTTTCTCGTCACGAAAAGTTTCTATTATCATTGCGTAGTGATAACGAGATCGCGATCTGAAGGGCTCTCTTTCATATTGTAAATACTGATAATCAGATTCGCAGAATCTTATATCAGGTGTTCGCTAATGATTGAATCTGTTTAATGATAAGAATTAATCCGATGCAATTGCATACGGATTCGCCGACTCGTTTCGCGTGCGTAGCTGGATGATTTATAAAATCGTTTCGCTTTGCTGAAACGCCGACTGGTTGCTGTTATCCGCGAGGATTCGCGAGCGTAGGTGTCCCGGAAGTTTCTGTATTTCCTCTAGGAATCCAATTAACGCACGTGCGCCGTGCAACACTGTCCATAATCCATACTGTAACGGGTTTTTGTCAATGTCTTTTAGACCAACGAAAACAAATAGAATGCGCTTCCATCGATAGTACTGTACAACATAAATTTCTTTTGCTGTTTTCATTGCGCGATTATTATAGTTTCCCATGCGAGAAACAAGTCTGGAAACTCTATAAGAATCAGACAGTGAATATTGCATGAAAATGAAAGAAGTATTTTTTGTTAAACGTATGCATAGAACTTTTCTCGTATATTGCAACTGGAGCTACGACTTTTGTCTGAAACACTTTTCGCTTGGACGAAGGAAAACTTTTTGCAAGAGAC